CTATATCAAAACCTTTTTTTTTTTATTTTTATCAAACATGCATTTAAATGTAAATTTGAAAAAACTTGTATTCTGTTATCAATGCAAATGATAAAAAAAAAAAAAAAATTTAAATATTCAACATGAAAAAATGAATAAATTATTTATAAAATTGAATTTAACATCACTGCCCTTTTAATTAATTAGATTATTAAGAAATACCAGAAATTACATTTCTTCCGACTTATGTACATCATACATTTTACATTTACATCATCCTAATATTTCCCCAAAATTAACTGTAAATCTAAATTAGTCAAATTATTAAGAAATACCGGGAAATCCATCTCTCTCTCGGGTTTATCCCAACACATATACATCATATATTTTACATTTAAATTATTCAAATATTTATCTAAAATTGATTAAAAAATCTAAAAATTTCACCAATTCAACAAATTGTAAACTAGCAAAATTTTTTTTTTTTTTTTTTAATTCTTAAAATTTACTATTCTTAATGAAAAGAAGAAGAATAAAACTTTTATTATACTTTTTTGAATTTTATTTTTTACATCTGACTAATTTCTGGATATTAATAATGTCTTTCTTTTTTTCTAAGGTTGTACTTACGATACCCTTTTTTTTTTTTGTGAGAGTATAAGTCCGTAAATAAATTTAAAAAAAAAAAAAATGAAGTACAACATCAGGACAATTCTACAATTAAAGAAAAAAAAAAAAGGTTAAAAATTTTCTATGTCAATTTTTTTCACAATGTATATTTTTGGTATTCAATAGAATCTATAAAATTTCTCTTATACTTTTTTAAAATTAAACGTAAGTAACATCGATTTACTTAAATGGAACAAAATTATTTCTGTGAAATTTGGAAATTCTTTAAATCAATTAATTTTCTACAATAATTAATAATTACATTGATATATTCAATTCAACAATTATAATTGTACAGTCAAATAATTTTAATTTCTCCTTATTACAACAATTTATTCATTTTATTTTACTTCATTTGGAATGATTTTTTTTTTTTTTTTAGTAAAAATTCAAATTAGTTCATGTCTTTGAAAAAAAAAAAAAGAAAAAAAAAACTTTATCATATTTTCATTAATTAACGATATTGATGAGTTTATTTCCTGACAAAAAAAGAAAAAAAAAATCTATTAATCAGCGGAAAATGAAAGGTAAAATCAAGAATGAATAAGCATAATTTCTTGATTCATATCAGTTCATGGAAAAGAGAAATAATGAAACATGGAAGGAAGCAAAATTCAATTTTCATTAAACTTCATGCTTTTGATAAATGATAATGATTTAAAAAAAAAAAAGAAAAGAAATATAGGAAATATGATAGGAGAATAGATTGGGAAGAATTGATAAACGGTAAATTTATAACTGAAATAATGTTCAAATGTTATAGGATTCAAATTTAAATTTATATGATCCAATATGATTTAACCAATTCGAATTTTTTAATGTTTAACATAACATAAAATAAAAATTCATAATATTAATCGCAAAAAGAGAGAAAAAGAAGGAAAGTGATAATGATTAATATTTAAAATTATAACAAAAAGGAAAAAAAGGATAAATGGATATTTTATTTGAAATTGAAATACCAAAAAAAAAAAAACAAAACAAATGATAAAAAAATGAAATTAAAACATTTTGCATAATTCATATTCGATCCTAAAATAGGAATTACACTAAAAAATGAATGGAAGAGTAAAAATAAATGAAAAAAAAAGTCATCGAAGAAATATTTTATTATTTTGAATGAGCAAAGAAAAAAAAAAGAAAAATTCTATAGTCGAAGAAATTAAATTTATTAAAGGTAAAATAGGAAAAAAAAGGAAAATGAAATAATTGATATATTGAATGTTTAAATGTGAAAAAAAAAAAAGGCAAATGATTAATATTTCATTAATTACGGTATTTTAATTAATGCATAACAAATTACAAGGAAATAAAATCAAATTTTAAATACTGAAGAAATAAAAACCAATAAAAACTGATGTTGGATAAAAATTGGGAATTTTCTAAATTTTTTGTTAATTTAAAAAAAAAGAAAAAGCTATTGCTAGCTAAAAATTGAAAATGATTAAAGTCTATTTGTAGCTAAAAAAAAAAAATATCATCAGTTTTGCAAATATTATATTTTGCGTAATATTAAAAAAAAAAAAATTAAAAAAGAAAATCCTAAACTTCATTAACAACTAATTTGAAATTCTAAAGGAAAAAAAAATGAGTTATTTTTTAAATTGATATAGCAAAAAACAAGAACAAAAACAAAGTAGACAATAACAAAAAGAAAGTAACAATTACTTTTACAATTTAATTAAAAATTTAAATTATTCCCATACCAAATCTTCCAGTAAACGGGGAATACATACCGAAAGAAAAAATTTCTTCATATCATATAAAATGAAATATTTCAATTTATGTAATAAACAATATAACACTGATTTTTTTTTTTGTTTTATCATTTACATTTATACATGAATTTGTCAAGTGTTGCTTATGAACATTTTAAACATAAATACACACACACACGTACACACACACACCTATACAAACGGACAGACAAACACGTACACCCATATGAA